TGGAAATTTTAGGAAGCACAAATCTCAAGCATTCAGATTGATCACAATCAAGCACAAATCAACTAAGACAAGTTTTGAACTAGTGGGAAGAACCTTCAACCTAGATCAATTTCCTGAAAAAATAGAAAAAAAAAAACCCATAGATAGATAGTTTTTTAGAGATTACTTCCCCTAAGTTTTTTAGCATTAAATTTATGACCCACAAATGCAAATGCAATCTTTAAACTATCAGCAAATCCAAGAGTCGAAATGCATATATGAACTAGGCATAGGTTCAACAAACCTAAAACTGAATGTACAGTTGTTGTCCTCATGAAGTACCTAAAAACCTAAAATTGAAAGTGCTATCTTGGAATCATCATCGTCCTCGTGAATTGAACTAACAAATTTGGATAACTCAAGTGAAGAGAAACTAAATAGAGACACGATTTGGGTTTTGGTTTTCTGCAAAGAAGGTCTAAGGTTTCTTAGGCTTGAGATTTGGGGAGATGATGAAGGTGGAGAGGAAGAGATGGAGGGAAGATAGAAAGGGATAATTTAGTTTAAGCTAAAGAAGAGGATAAGGTGAGTTTAGTGGATATGAAGCAACTTGAAAGGGGAAGAGGAAAGATGATAAAGATCTACATGCCTTTTAAGTGGGAAGAAAGAAGAAAAAGAATTAAATAAAAAATGGGCTATATCTTGCATGGATTCACATGTGGCAGCTTAAGGGGAGAGCTTAATCTCTTTCCTCCTAAATTATTGCCTCTTTGCTCTGAAACCCTAACCATATTGTAGTTCAATCTCTACTTCAATATCTTTTTGCTTCTGCAATCTAGCTTCTTAAATCTAAAATAGGAAGTAGAAATTAGAGAGCTCTATCTCTCTTGTCCCAAATTGCTATTTCATCCCTTCAAAACTCTATCCGCCATTACACCACCATCAATCTACTCACTATCATCTAACCTCTCCTTTAACTCTTTTGCTTCTTCACCAACATAGTGAGAGAGGAATGGTGGCATTCCTAGATGTCATCATTTGCTCTAAGGCAAGTTTCTGTGTTCTTCTAATCATTCCTTTTTAGGTTGTGTCATTTACAAGTTTTAGTGCTTTGACTTTGGGGAAAGCTTGTCTTCCTAATCTTAAGTGTTGATTCATTTACTTCAATCTTATTTCAGATCATCCTCTTATGGCTATGATGCATTAGATTTCAATTAGAGATACTTTGTTTTTGCTAAGGTTTTAGATCAAAATTGCAATCCTTGATTAACATTCATTGGAAATTACAAGAGATGATATTAGTGGTTCAACAACACCACAATTCTTTTTTTGCTACTTTTTCAATATGAGAAGGAATTAAATTACATGCTCTTTCATGATTCATGAATGTTACAAGGATATTTCATCACCCTAACCCCATGAAAGCTAGATATCATTTTGTCTAATTTGAAAATTCATCATTTCCCTATGCGAATTCAAATATATGGATTACCTTTGGAGTACTGCACTGAAGAGTTTGTGCAAATTATTAGGGAACGCATTGGAAAATTTCTTTATCAACAGTCTTTCAAACTAGTATGGCTTATATCTTCAAGTATTCCTCTCAGAGTTTGGTTTAAATTCTATCAATCTTAATAATTGTCAACTACTTGATGGTAAAAATATGAAGGTTTAGTTAGTTTTATAATAAGCGGGTGTTTATGTCCTTGTATGGACATTGGACATCTAGCTAGATAATGTAAAACAGCTTCCAACCTTTAATCTCAATTTTTGGTCTCTATTGTGGGGTCAAGATTAGTAGGTGTTAAATATCATAGCTTCTCTAATAGATATGTTCTCACTGCACAAATGATTAGAATTAGAGTGGATGCTTGTTGTTTTAAAGAGATTCTATTGGAGGAGGTTGTCTTTTGTCAAAATTGGCCATAGTATGAGGATATAGGTGATAGCTCTCATGTGAATACAACAAGTAAGGTCAGGCTTATGTGCAAAAAGAAAGTTGAATCATTTGAATTGAGCAATAGGGTAAGCAAAAGAGTAGCTTGGTTTTTTAGTACCATACCTACTACTATTTCAACTACATATGAGACAAGTTTTGTTACTATCATTCTTAAGAACCTTTTACCATTCCTTAATCTAGGTTTTATGATTGCACTCTCAAAGAGGTTGTCTCATGGCATCAAATGAAAGGCCTCCATGATTCCCTTGTCTCCAACTTCTAAAACAAAGTATGGTTTCTACAAGGTTTTTGCCAGAATAAACCTTGTCCTATTTCATAATTATGGTTGGGACCTCTAAGTTCACCTACAACCACTTAAAGATCCATCATGCAATGTTGCTAATCTCATATAATAATTATTTTGATTGTTGTTTTAATTCTAGACTTGGCATGGGTCTTTCTATTAATAGGTGCTACTATATTGAACTACTTGATGCCTTCCTACATCTTTTGCACACACACTTTATGCAAAGGTTTTTCAAACCTTTTGAGAGAAAAAAAAATATGTTTTGAATTTCATCTTTCGAAGCTCTTATCAGAGTTTCGTGCTTGTTGTTCTTCAAAATGACACTGCCATATTGTTCAATATACTAGCTTTACTTCTTTCCATCATGACTCCCTTTCTAGAGCAACAATCTTTGGTTTGTTAGTCTCTTGTTTTCAATTGTGCCTTTCCTTATGTTTTTGTTGTTTTAGTTGTAAAACCCATATTATAATAGGCTAGTTTGCTTTTTTATTGTCATATTTACTATTTTAGTATGTTGATATTTTCATTCTAACCCATGAAATTTAGGTTTTGTGTTTCTTTGTGTTGTAATTTTTTTTTGTGGATTAACGAAATTTGATATTTATCCACAAAAAAAAATTGTGGTAGTTAGAGAGGCATTTAATAGTTAAAATCAATATTAATGGTTAAAATCAATAAGTTAACAATCAACACTGGCAGCAAGATAAAATTGTATTAATTTAAAAAATGATGGAGTAACATTATATAAATAAAAAAATACTTAAAAATATGAGGTGTGCGTAGTTAAAAATTTTAAAAATAAATTTATACCTTAACCTTATATTTAATTACATTGTTATAGATATTTTCTCATAAAATTTTAAAAAAAATTTATATCATCTCATTCCTATCATTTTTACTCTATAATATATCTTTAGGATGTATTTTTTAAAATGTCTCAAAAAGTGTATTATTTTTTTTATAAACAAAATAATTGAAAATAGCCTCGTGCATAGCGCGATGAACACGACATGCACGCAGGTTACTTGGGAATTGCGGTGCCCTATAGGAAATTCTGAAATATGTCTATTAGTGGCACTGTCAAATGTCAATCAAGGAACCTTCCTCATTGGCCAAAGTTATATCATATTTATATTATTAAAAACAAATACTTTTAAATTTATTTTTATTTAAAAGTATTTTAATAAAAATTTATAAATACATATAAAAGATATATATATATATATATATATATATAATAATAATAACAAATATATTAGGAAGAATTTCATTTAAAGATTAGGGGTGTGACTTATTCACAAATCAAACCTAATAAAATATAAAATTATACTATAGGAAGAAAGGGCTAAATTAAAATTATTTTATAAGAAATGACCAAAATGCCCTTCAACTAGACTTAATCACGTAATTTACTTGCCAATGTCTCAAACAAACTTATTAATTACTTAAATTTACTCAATAAATTTGTGACTCTCTCGATTAAATTATATAACTTATTAATCATGTAATTTTACTTGTTAATTTTTTAACAGTACTTGTTAATTACTTAATTTTACTTGTTAAATCCATGACTCTCCCAAATGAAAAAAACTTGTTAATTGCATAACTTTATACAATAACACTTGTTAATTTTATTACTTGAGTTGTTAATATTTATTGGCTCGATTTTCGTTGAAGGGTCAAAGCATCGTGACTCTTAGGTGTGTGTGTGCTAGGTGTGTTAGAGGAGTAAGTCCTCAATAAAGTAAGATGTGATCAAACAATTAAATGAGCTCTTAAGTTTCTTTACTGCAATTTCCTTGAAGAAAGTGACTTGAGAAAATAGTGATGGGCTAATTGAGATTGAGCATAAATCTTGATAACATAACTTGAAAAAAACAAGTACAATAGAGTGCTTCATGAATATGGAGAAGTAGATGAGTTTGCAAAACTAGCCTAAGGAGTCAAGTTTGCAAAGGAAATTTAAGTAGCATTGAGCAAAGTAGAAGATGATGCAGGTCAAGTAGTATATTTGTGTCAGGCAAGTTTGGCATAAATTGCCAAAATGTTGTGTGTCCTGAGTTATTTGCTTATTATCTATTTATAATAAATGGCAATAGTACACTCCTTTTCATATTTAAATTGGTGTTAGTAGGAGTAGCGATTATTTGTGCCTTCAAATCCTTGAATGACATTTCATCATGTGGCTTAATGGGCATGGACGCGTTGAGAATCGCAAAGAGTGAGCAAAGTGAGTGTAACTTTGTCAATCTTTTTATCTCAAAATACATCGTACCACTTACTAGTGTAAGGGTGGACTGCTAATTGAGTCAAATATACTCATATGTTGGTTTGGGCTTTAGGGAATCATTGTAATTAGGCTTGGTGCTTTGATTTTGATTCAAACAATACTATATAAAAAAAAAGAAAGGCATTTTAATTGATTCCTATAAAAAATAATTTTAAATTAATCTTTTGATCTTACAATGTAGTTTCAAATTTTTATTAGATTTGATTTGTAAATAATCACGTCCCTAATTTTTTATTGAAATTCTCTCAATAAATTAGGTAAAATGAAAACTATATTAACTTTTTTTGGAATTTATAATTTGTATAAATAAATTTAGAGTATAAATTATGCATTATTGATATTCAAAATTTCACTTTTGCAGGTTTTTCTTAACATTAAATAAAGTGTTGACACATGTTAAACCTGGGTGTTCCGCGCACGTGATCGGGGCTTCGTGGTCCCTGGCAATCGATTGATTCTTTTCGAATGGCCTTGGAAAAGAAGTTAAAAAAAAAAAAAAAAAAAACCAGATCTCCTCTTATTTACTTCCTTCGATGCTCCACCTCTCTCTATTTGCTGATCACTTCGCGGCTCTGAAGTGGACTTCCCTTCATCGCTTGCCTTCCTCCCACTTCCTTCTTCCACCTATCATACAGGTATTGAACTTCTTATTGAACTTCTTCTTGCTGGTCAGAGCAACATTTTTGATATTTTGGTGCTGATTTGACCTCTCGATGCTTGTGATGCAGTGAAATTTTCTTTTGAATCTGGTTAAAAAAAAAAAAAAGCACTTTCATTTTAGTGAGATCACTTATAAGTTCAGATTTGTTGAGCCTTTAGTTGGATAGGGTTTTTTTCTATCTGCAAGATTGACCGATGATTTTATATTTAGTTTTAACAAAATTAATTTGTTGTTTGTCATAAGGTCCATTACCGCATAAGTTGGATTGCTGTTGTAGTTGATTTATTGATTAATAGCTTAGTTACCTAATCATGTTTGTCAGGCACTTTTCTGTATTGCCTTGTTGACACTTCTATGTATTCTCTTGTTTTGAGTACCAGCATATTGGAATTAACTCAGTTTTCAGGTCCTCTGTTGTAACTCGCCCGAATGTTACCTGTTGCAGTAGCAATTTCCATCACGTTCGTAAGATAGAGAAGATTCTTAGCTTTGAATAATTTAAGCTCAGATTGGGCAATGAACTTGGATTGGTTCTGTCTTAGAAGACTACTTCATTATCACCCAGCCAAACCTTGTTGATAAGAAGACTTTTAGGTTTGCCAAGGAAGAACGAAAAGAATGGCACCAAACTTAGATCGTCTGAAAGATGTGGTGCCCGACATCCTTTCTAGGTTGCCCGTAAAATCTTTAAGGCGGTTCGCGTGTGTTAATAAATCCTGGTACCGCTTAATCAAAAGCCAGACTTCATCTTCCAACACCTTCACACCTTCAACAACCACATGAACTTGACAGATCCTATTAATCTCCTTGTCAACCGTACTAGGCGTGCCACTTTTGGTCCTTCTGGCCTTAATCGAAAGGCTTTTGTTTCTCTTCTGTCTTTTAACCCAACCAGCAATAGTGCCTCTCTCAATCTGCTGGATTTAATCTATAACCACAATGAAGTTGCCCATGTGGAAATTTTAGGTCCTTGCAATGGCTTATACTGTCTCTATAGCTTTCCCATTCTGATTGTCAACCCATCAATGAGAGAGTACAGAATTCTTCCAGATAGCCCGGACCCACCAGAAACTTACTCCTTGCAACGCTATCATGGGTTTGGATTCGATCCCAAAACTAATGATTACAAGGTGGTTGTGATGATGGACACATGGCGTGAAGAAACAGATGAACAATTGCCCTGGCGAATTGAGATATACTCTCTGAGTTCTCATTGCTGGAGGAATGTTGACTGCCCTCTGCCACCTGTTTCCGTTTGGTGTGGATCTTGGATTGATGCCTTTGTTAGTGGAGCATTTCACTGGTGGGCTTATGATTCCGCTGGTGACTTGGTTCTTGCATTTGACATGCTAAATGAAACATTCCGAACGTTCAGGCTGCCAAAGGTGAGGACTTCTCCACGGGACTATGCTGGAACTGTTGCTAAGTTCAGGGAATCTCTAGCTGTGATTGTATATCCCAGAAGGGGAACAGAGAAGTGCTTTGATTTGTGGGTGATGGAAGATTATGGAAATGAAGGGTCTTGGACCAAGCATTCCATTATTGGACCCATCGTAGGTGCAAACCGGCCATTGGGATTCTTGGAAGAAAAGAACCTGTTTCTTTTGGAAGACAGTGATGGTAGGATGGTGTTTTATGGTCTCCAGACTGAAGAAATAATACATACTGGATTTCATGGTGAGGAAGATTCCTTACAGGCTGTTGTGTACATGGAGAGCCTGATTTCACTGCGAAGAGATGATGAAAATTCCCAAGCAGGACAGTCTTTGTTTGGTGTAATTCCTGACCCTCTCTTTGAGGGAAATTCAGGATGAGAGTAATGTTTTCGTTATGTTGCTTGCTTCAATGTTCTCTCTCTAGTAACTATAAGTTATGCTTGTTTTTCTTTGGCCAACAAGTATAAGTTATGTAATGTGAAAGAATGTTATATTCTTTGATATGACTGCCCTATTGCCAATGCCACACGCATTTTGTTTGAGGAAATATTTCAGAGGAGGACCCAATCCAGCAATATATTATGTAAACGACCATAAAAATTAAGATTATAATGGATTTGGATTCACTGAGAGGTGGATTTACGCTGCAATGTATTTTTAATTGCATATCAGGCATGTTATAAAATCAAAAGGTGAAAATGGGTATGTGTAAGCTGTAACAAAACAAAATAATGGATGACTAAAATTAAATCTTATTCATTCTCACGGAGTCTCACTGAATTTGGCTTTCCCTGAATTTAAAGTATTAAAATATAATTGACTGTTAGGCTTATTTGACCTTTGGGATATCCATTTTGGAGAAGAGAGTGATCTCTTGAATTGGAGGGATTTTAAAGTTTCTTAGGGTGAAAACATAATACTAGTGGGTTTCGTTCTTAAGTGCTAACAATCAAGTGGGTGTCATTTTTATATTTACCTCTCTTCAGTTTATATAAATAAATCTAGCTAACAAATTTGTGCCAACATTAGCTTCCTATATATAAAGGAAATTGACACCAGCTATCCTCTCCATAACAGAACAGGTGATCGATGTTTTGGTCTCTTGCGACCATATTAAGTAATAGCTCAAACATAATCTCTCTAATCCACTCATCTATTAATATTTTGGGGAATGATAAATGGATAGGAATCGTTAGCAACATGAGTATGCGTTGTTGTCTTTTAAAATAAGCAATATATCAATCCGTGTCCTTATATTTTAATCGTATTTTATTTTTAGTCTTTTGTAAATTATTCTTGTTGTTTCTTTTCTTTTCTTTTTTTTTTTCAATTTGATCCATCTGCATTGTTAATTTTTCTAATTTAAAAACATTTATAAAGATTTAGATTGGCTCAATAGTATTTATTTTGCTGATATGGACTTGACACTATTGAATATGTGATGATTTAGGAGTAAGAGAAAAGTCCATGTTAGCAAACTAAATGCCGCTGATCTTGTTCATTTAATGTTGCATGCGAATGAGGAATGAAAAAGAACTAAAATATGCTATAACGAATGAGAAACAACTAAAACATACTAGCGGGACTAAATACAAGATATGTATTTTTTAAAAAAAAATAAACAACACAAGATATGCTTGAAGTGTATGGATCGAAGTGGTATTTTCACTTAATTATTAAAGAATTCTAGGTTTGTAAATAGGGGCAAACTGCGTGTGAATTCTGGCCAAATAGAGTTATTCTTTCTTAATGTATGACGTGGCAGAGCAGGGTGTTATTGGCCACAGAGCCCCAGGCATCGGGGCGATGCTAGGAGTAGGAGGGATCCATCACTGATGTCTGCGACGTGCCAGCAAAACACTATAGAGTAAATAAACAACCAATTGAACTCCTCTTTCACAGTTCATGCTTGCTTTGCTGTTTCATATATCCTGTATCATTCTCGGCTCTGAAGCGTTAATTCTCACTCTCGCAGTCTCGCTCGCCTTCGTCGGCTTCCTCATCCTCATCCTTATTTATCCACTACACAGGTATTCAAACTTAACATAATTTTTAACACTTCAGATCAATCAAACCACAATGCCTGATAATTCAGTGCTGATTTGAGCTGTGAACCTTTGCATGCTTCCAATAGAGTCAAATCTTCTCTTTCAATTTGATTTTAGAAGAACAGGTTTGTTAGGTATGGCTTTGTTTTCTCGTTTCGAGCACCAGAAGCTATGCGCATCACTTCCTCGAGACACACAAAACTCTGGCACTAGTTAATTTGAGCTCAGACTGGTATTCGAACTTGGATTTTCTCATTCTTAGAAGTTAGAAGAAACTACAATAATGGCTAAAAGCTTAGATCGTTTGGAAGGTGTGTTGCCTGAAATCCTTTCAAGATTGCCAGTGAAATCTTTAAGGTGATTTGCATGCTTTTGTAAATCGTGGTACCACCTTATCAAAAGCCCATACTTGATCTCCAGACACCTCACCTTCAATAACCAAATGAACTTGACAGATCCTACTAATCTCCTCGTTAACAGCATTGGTCCTTCTGGTTTTAATTGACAAGTTTTCATGTTTCTCCTCTGTCGATCCAGTAAGGCACAGCACCTCTCTCGATCAACTGGATTTAATCTATACCCAGAATGATGTTACCCATTTAGAAATTTTGGGTCCTTGCAATGGCTTATACTGTCTGTCTCTATTGTTATCCCATCCCGATTATCAATCCATCCATCCATGAGAGAGTTCAGAATTCTTCCCGATTTCTCGGCCCCACCCAGAAGTTACTGCAGGAAACACTATCCTGGGTTTGTATTCGACCCCATAACTAATGATTACGAGGTGGTTATGATTGTGGAAGAAACAGATCATGAACAATTGCATTGGCGTGTTGAGATATACGCCCTTAGTTCTGATTGTTGGAGGATTGTTGATTGCCCTCTTCCACATGTTTCCATTTGGAATGGGTCTTGGATGGATGCTTTTGTTCACGGAGCATTTCACTGGTTGGCCTATGATGCTGCTGGTAATTTAATTCGTGCATTCGACATGATGAGCCAAACATTCCGAAAAATCAGGCAGCCAAATGTGAGGTCTTATACACAGGAATATACTGGAACTGTTGCTAAGTTTAGGGAATCTATTGCTGTGATTGTATATGCTAGCAGTGGAACTGAGAAGATCTTTGATCTGTGGATGATGGAAGACTATAGCAATGAAGGGTCTTGGACCAAACACCCCACCATTGGACCCATTGTAGGAGAGGAGCGGCCATTGGGATTCTTGGAAGGAAAGAACCTGTTTCTTTTGGAAATTGAGTATGGAAGCATGATGTCTTATGATCTCCAAACTGAAGAAATCAGATATAGAGGATTTCGGTGTGGTTATGGTGATGAGATAGGTTCCATACAGGTTGCAGTATGCTCAGAGAGTCTAATTCACTGCCAAGAGATAATTAAAATGAAAACTCCCAAGCAGGAGTGTCTTTCTTTGGTATGATTCCCGACTCTCATCTTTGTTTGCCTTATGGAGTGGTGCGAATTTTGTGAAGGGAAAAAAACAGTTAAAAATGGTTTAACTTGGAGAGAGAAACTTTTCACTGGAATTTATGTTTTCTTGTAGGTGAGATGAGATACACAAGGCAAGAGATAGAAGACTCAGATTATGAAACAGATGGCTTTGATATAAGTTTTTCTCAGATGGGGGTTTTCCCAGTAGCGGATCTAGGCCCGGGGCAGAATTATTTTTGATATAACACAAATGATATATACTTCACTGACAATGAAATTTAATTTTCTAGTGTATAAAACCATATTATGAACTAGATATTTGAATTTTGACAATTTATTTGAATAATAATTAATGAAACCCCTCCCTCATATAACAACTTGATTTGCTAAAAAAATAAACAACAAATTGAATATATAAAGATCAAAATTATTTTAAACTATACATTAGTAAAAATCTAAAAAAAATAAATTAAATTAAATTAAATTAAATTAAATGATTCCACTACAAATATAAGAATTAAATAATTTCAAATAAAAGTCACCATTAAAAAAAAATCACTCATAATACTTTAATTATTTTAAAATCTCAGTTGTCTTTATCTACTATTTCAAATTTTTATGATCTCACGGTCAACTTCACTTCTCTTAGTATTTTAAATTTAAACTTCAAATCAATTATATTTTTTTTTCTCTCTAACAAATTTTGCACCCCAACGTCTCACTTAAATTTAAATGATTGTTATTTCTCTCTTCCTCTTTCTTCCATTTCCCTTGTTCTTCTCTCATTCAATTGGTTCAAAACTAACACATCGGTGGGAGCAAATTAAAACTCAGTTCATGCTTACATAAGGCATCAAAAAATTGAGAACCCCCCCCCCTCCCCCACCTTCAAATACATTTACACCCGCCACTGGGTTTTCCCATAGGGTTAATTTGGGGAGCTTAATATTTTAAGTTATTATGCTTTGGACTTGAAAGGCATGTGAGATCTGTGATGAAAAAGAGTTGAAGCTTTTTAATATGACTAAACTCTTTTCTCTCTTCTCAATCAGTTAGACTGGGGAGTGGTGATTAATATGAAACTATATTAACATATGATGACCCATCTTTTCATGCTATACTCTTCTGTCATAAATTATAAAATATTTTTAAATAAAATCACACATGCCAATAAATTATAAGATATTTTATATTTATTTTTGGTATTTTTTTAAAAAATGTAGAAGATTTAAATTTTTCTAAAAAAAATTAATGGGTCTTTATGTTTAAAAATCAAAATCAAAATACATTTTAAATAAATGAGGATGCTTTGCGAGTCAAAGTCCTGAGAACTAAATACAAGTGTGGGTTGGGACCAAATCCCATTGCTAGGAAAAAAACAAAGACCCTCACTTACTTGGAGAAGCATTTGTAATATATCTGGGAGACTTTCAAGAAGGGAGTAGGGAAGAAAATTTGGAAATGGGGCTACCACATCCTTTTAGTTTAATAACTGGTCAAAAATGAACACTCCTCTTATTGATCTTATACATGGGTATGGAGGATTTATTGATAAGTAGGAAGTCGTGGCTGATTACCAAAGTATTCATGGTGAATGGGATGGTTCTAAACGGAATGTTTGGCTTGATAAACAAGTAGTCGAGATTTTAACTTGAGCACTTCCACCCTATGAGGAGAGTGGAGAGAATTTTTTTATTGGAAGCCGTCCTTGGATGGTTCCTTTAACATTAAATCTGCACATAAATTTCTATTTTCAGGTACTCATAAGCAATGTGATAATATCTGCAAGCTCCTTTTATGAGATAAAAGAAGATCAAATCTTTTATGTGGATGTTCACACATGGGAGAGCTCATGCAATGGACCTTAAAACTAAGAGAGGAGTTTAAAACGATGAGTCTTGTCCATTTGAATGCGATTCGGGGGAAGACTATAAATTTAATGCGTGATTGTACAAATGTACAAATGCTAGGAATAGATGGACCTCGATGATTATGAGTGACTTACAACCAATTTTTTTCTCGCTTCAGGGTGCCAATTGGGTCAGATGGAACTTACTACATGAAGCAGGCTCGAACCATACAAAAAAAAAATCCTTGGGCTATTCTTTTAGGTTATGCTTGCTGGAATGCCTGGGTGGCTCAGTGTAGAAGGGCTTTTGATTCAGAGATTGAAGAGCCTAGCCCAAATGGAATGTCCAGTCCCTTCAGGGCAATTATTGACAGGAAGCTGATGAACAAATGCTCTCTATATGGTGGCCATAATCCAAACTTGACTTAGACATGCTTTGAGGAAGAGGATTTTACTAAGCTTTTTATTGAGGGATCAGTAACTCAGGAAGGAAGCTGTGGATGTGGCAGGATTTTGCGTGATGTTCACAACAATTACATTTGTGGTTTCAGTTCTAAGATTATTATGGTTCCCCCTGTTATTGTAGAGCTCATTGGCATCATACAAGGTTTATATTTATGTTGGGAATGAGGCCTTCACAACATTGTTGTTTCTCTGATTATATTGCAACCATTAATTTGATTGTTAAAGGGTGTGATAATAATTATTCCTTTACGGACATAGTTGAGGAGGCGAGAGCTTTTCTTTTTAGTGGTGGCATTATTATGTTTATTACATTTACCGCGAACAAAATTAAAATGCGGACAACCTAGCTAGATACTCCTACTCTATGGATTCTTCTTTTTGGCCCTTTAGCCGTCATCCAATTTCAAATTAGGAAGCTGAAGATGGGGAAAGAGGATTATAGTGTATGCTATTTTGGTTTGCTGCTAGCTCTAGGTCCATTTGTGCCCTTTGAGTTTCTTTAATGGACTTCCAGTTTCATTTAAAAAAAAAACAATCATTTGCAGCGCATGCGACATGTCACAGCTACAAGCCGAAGTAGGCAGCGCTAGAATCCACGAACAGAATCAAAATGCCCGACACCATCCCATGCCTACCACTTGTATCATGTCCGAGCCATCTAGATCCTTCCGGTCCCACTTAATCCAACGGTTCATCATCCACCACGCTATCTCATTCCTCTTCAAACAACGAGCGGTTCACGTCCTGGCACGAGTCCAACCCCCTTCATTATTACCTCCTCGATCCAACGGACTCGATAACTCCCATCTTCTTCCTTGCGCTCTGCAACACCGTCCACTCTCTTTCCCGTTGCATTTTCCAATTCGCCGCCACGCACTGAAATCCCCGTTTTACCCTCTGTCTTTTTCCCATATCCCTTCGTTATCCTCTCGCTCTTGGTTTTCCAGCCTTCTCGTCGCCGACGATCGGAGTGCAGTTCGATCCGTATCGGCCGCGAATAGGATCGGATGGCGGATTCGGATAACGAGTCGGGTGGGGCGAACGGAGGCAACGCGAACAGCGATGTGTCGACAAAGGAGCAGGACAGGTTCTTGCCGATAGCGAACGTGAGCAGAATAATGAAGAAGGCGTTGCCGGCGAATGCGAAGATCTCAAAGGACGCGAAGGAGACGGTGCAGGAGTGTGTGTCGGAGTTCATAAGCTTCGTGACGGGGGAGGCGTCGGACAAGTGCCAGAGAGAGAAGAGGAAGACGATCAACGGCGACGATTTGCTGTGGGCCATGACCACTTTAGGGTTCGAAGACTATGTGGAGCCCTTGAAGATTTACCTACAGAAGTATCGGGAGATGGAAGGGGAGAAGATTTCCGTGGGGAAACACGGCGAGAAGGATGGCGGCTCCGGCGGAAGTGGGGTTGTTGGGTTTAATGGTGCTGAGGGTATGTACGGTGGGATGACGGTGGGGCATCATCAGGGACAGGTATACGGTTCTGGTGGGTTCAACCAAGGAGGCGGCGGTGGAGGCTCCAACATGAGATCCAGGTAGCTTTACTCTTAGTTTTCAGCATGGAACCAATGAAGTTTTTAGCTGGATGAAGAATTCAAGTTCGATTCAAATTAACTTGTGAATAACTATGATGGTGCTATCTTAATATGTTATTAACCTGTATTTTTCTAGTCAATTGTCTAAAGGCTGGGATCGCTGTGATGTTCTGAGGAAGACAGAATGAGAGATAGAGTTACTTTGAGGAGTGATTTTGCAGCATTTATAGTGTAATATGGTAATGAGATAGAGATTACAGGATCATCGTACAATTGTAACCTTGTTATGATAAAATATTAGTTGTATCAAAGTGAGGGGGAGGAGACATCAACATGTGCTTCATTCCCTTTAATTTCTCTCAGAGGTTTAATGAAATGGCTTAAAGTTTGTTGGTGTTGTGCATGTTTGTTTAATAATGGTTTTCTTCTTAAATGGCTTGTCATCATTGAGGTTTTGTAACCTTGAGGGAGACATGGAATTAGGTTGAGGTTGTTTGTGGAATGTTTAACCATTTGAGGAAGGAAGGTTCAAGCTTCTTGGGTTAGCCATTTTGCAGAGAACGGTAATTGTTGTTGACCTGTTCTATTTGCCTATCTTTCCATCACTAGTCTCTCTAGGCTGGGGAAAAAAAAATACTTGCTATATCTGATAAATCTATAAAAAAAAAAAAACACTTATAAACAATTTAAGAAGATCTAATCTAATTTCAGCTATTCATAATTTTACAATTAGAACTGGAAAACATATTATCATTCATCTTTCCAAATTTAACCCTTGTCTAACCTTATTTGCTCGGCTACAAATCTAGTACAAGAGTTTCTGTGGTGGGCTTCTCCACATTTTTGTCTCTTCTTGGTTTCTATATAAAGGATGTTGATGATTGTTGTTATGTGCGTATGTGACCCTAGAATTTCCGTGCAAGTATAGTGTGAATCTCTCTAGTGTTAATTTAGAAGATAGCTACACTGTCACTGCTTCTGAAGATAAAATCCTGCCCAGTTATGGACATAGGGAGGAAGATGACAAAATTTACGTATGGATCACACTCATGTGGGTCTCATTTACGTCTTGTTTTTAGATTTCTATCAGTTCTCATCTGAGTTCATGGGATTATAAATTCAGAAAAACATGATTATTTGGTTTCAGGGACTTGTTCAGATTTGATTAGCTTGAAAACCTCTCAAGCACCTTCCCAGATAGAAGAGGAATTTTAGGCGCTGGTTTTGATTTGGTAACATGGGAGTGGGGCAGATGGAGATAAACAACAAATTATTTCCCATGTCATGCTGGGCAATCACATTGTTTAACCGTCTGTGTATCTCTATGACCGAGTAATATGATACGAAATTTATAGGAAGTCAAGTTACTTCTAAGTCTTAAATGATTAATAAATATGACTATTAACAGAAGCTATACAAAGCATGCGTTTGCAATTTATTTTAAAAAGAAAAAGAAAGATGTTTTATTTATTCAAAATTTATTAAAATACTTCTTTATATGCACAATCACGGACTATACCTATGAAGTTTGACCACACAAGAGGGAAAACCAATAACCAGTAACTAGTTATGAAATAAGTATTTGTCACAGTATATTTCAAACATGACGTTCTAATTAGGTTTGTTATGCTACTTGATCAGAGTCTTTATTAGGTATTAAAAATTAGACCTATTATTAAACTGATGAAGACACTGATGATCAATGATTTAAATATGACTATTAACAGAAGCTATACAAAGCATGTGTTTGCAATTTATTTTAAAAAGAAAAAAAGATGTTTTATTTATTCAAAATTTATTAAAATACTTCTTTATATGCACAATCACAGATCGTACCTATTAAGATTGACCACACAAGAGGGAAAACCAATAAGTAGTTATGAAACAAGTGTTTGCCACAATATATTTCAAACATGACGTTTTAATTAATTCTGTTATGCTACTTGATCAAAGTCTTTCTTAGACATTAAAAATTAGACCAATTATTGAACTGATGAAGACATTTATTTAAAGGATCAATAATTAAAATTGTAATTTAACTATAGTCAAATCAATTATCAATAAAGCATTTCATTAAACTGGTGAAGTTATTGGTTCAACTATTCATGAATTCAACCATAAACCAATCAAAAAAGAAATGAGCAACAATTCTTGATCCGTCTTATAGCACTCGACACTTCACGTACTGGAGGGGTAACCAAGGACGGTTAAAATAATCATATTAAATAGAATAAATCTTATAACACTTGGTCTTTGACAAAATACAATTCAAAAGTTGATTTAAAAAATTATCACTGAATCACCAAAATGCCAAATAATGATTAAAATAACTGTCAGAGCCTCTCTTTCTGCGGCACATGCACCTGGTTTATTGATTTAAGTGTTCATATTTTTTTCTTGTCATCATAATCAATGTGATTCTTTCATTTTTCACACTTCACCTTGGAACATTATATATTCATTGATGTCACACTCTCACAATTTTTTTTTATTATATGATGCAAAATTCACGCTGAAAAATATGTCAAGAAAGCCACACGAATTGAAATACCCTCGTTGACTCTCCCATGAGCTGACAGATACAAGGTTAATAATCTTAATGGCAACATAATGATGCCATTATCATTTCTTTTTGAAATTATATACTCAATTAAAAAATTAATATTTAACTCGCCAGGCAACAAGAAACTAAGGATAAAAAATGCCAATATTTTCCTATGTTTTCATTGATCTCATGTATCTTCTCAAAAGGCTAAAGCTTAAGCGTGATTATGTTTGTATCATAACTTAAGCGACTCCATAAGTCCATTCTTTATTATTACTATTACTATTACTACGTATATATCTATTAATACTATTAGTCTTTCAATAAGTTGAATTCGTGTCATTACTTAATAAAACAGTGTTTAATTTTATATTATGGACACGCACATACAATATTCCAAACGAAAAATAATAAATTTACTCGCAAAAAACTAAACACAAGTGAAGATAGATATTTTTTGAACAAGTGCTGTCGTGTGGACATGTGATTTCTCGGTGGAAAAAGGATTACGTTACACCAGGGCAATGGGAGCCCAACTAAACATAGGAAAATGGAAAATTTATTATTTGGCCCCTATACTTTTGGCTTATTTATAATTTAATTTTTAAATTTTAATTCATTATACTTGATCTTTATAGTTTGACTCAATTATAACTCAATCATTATATTTTAACTCGATACAATTCAATCTCTATAATTTTAATTATATAAAATGTTGGTCCATATATTTTAGAAAAAGCTAAAATGGAAAATGCATGTCGTTATTTAAAAGCTAAAATAGTAAATAGCTTGGCAGCATTTTCTTTTTTCTTCATTTCACCATTTACTTATCCATATTTGCTTTCATTTATGTAATGAATGTTAAAATTTATCATGTAGAAATGATTGACTTGATGAAGAAAGTAGCAGAAATGGTTCTACATTATTGAGAGATGTACATAGTGAAATTCCTAGCAGTAGGGTAAGTTGCCCGTTTTCTATATAAATCAATATTACGGAAATGATATTGATAGATTTGAAAAATAAAAGGATTCCAATTCCATACATAAACTATTCGCAATGTGAATGTGTATACATGCATACATATATACAAAGATTTTCTTAACTAAAAATTAATCAAAAAAAACTAATTTGACTAGAATACTCTAAAAAAACACAACTTAGGTCACTTGAAGATAAATATTAAGAAACTCATTTTATTCTTTATTTTAGATATCAAATGATTAAGTACAATTAAAGTGATTTATATATAATATAATATATATTTCATTTTATATATTTAATTTAGTCTTACTAAGTGAAAATTTGGATTAAAATAAAAATCTTGAATTTTATAAGAAACTAATTCATAACCTTCCATAGTCTAATCTAAATTTAACTGAAATCCATAAACATAAGGAAATTAGTTATTTTAAAAATATTTATTCTAATCTTTCATTTATCTTATTTTAAAATTAGCTATTAACTTTAATAAGAAAATTAGCTATTACTGTTTTTGAAGGATTTATAATCAACATGGTGTATGTGGTAATAAATTTTGTAGCAAAATATATTATTTAAATTTCTAAAATGTAGCAGATAACAATTTATTAAATAAATACGTGTATATTTTATTGTCAAAATAAATTGTCTATATTTTTACAGAGATTATGAAATAAAATAAGATGACATTTTTATTTTAAATATGCACTAGGATAAATTTTTTTAAAATTAAAAAGCTAGCTTTTATATTTTTAATATGTAAGGGATAATAAATTTTGAAATAAAATATATTTAAAATATAATAAATTACAAAGAATCATTACAATCAATATTTATCTAATTTTAATTTCTTTTAATCTTTACTTGTCTCGTGCATCGCATGGGGCTGAAATTTAATTATACTTTGATTTGGTACAATTAAATTCTTATAGTTCTAATTATATAAAATATTGGTCTATATATTTTTAAAAAATAATATTATAAAGATTAAAAATTATTTTTGTAATAAAGGGAATTGACTTAATATATATATATATATATATATGCACACTTCCCAAAAATAATCTTTATAATTTATACACAAAAAATTGGATAATGCTCACAAGTTTTTTTGGGTAAACAAGCAATTATATTAATAATTAAAATAAGGTGAAAAAATATTGCGAATTTAGAAGTTGAAAAGAGTTTTTACATATTTTAAGAGTTCAGAATTCAGGATATTATTCATGTAATAGTTTAAAATTTAAAATGTTCATTAACTCTTTTAATAATTAAAATAAGGATATTAGGAGCCCAAGATCAACGATTGGTTGCAAGAATTATAAGGAAGTAAGATGAATTAGAAACAAAACTAATGAGCGGTAAAGTTGAAGGAGAGGATATCCAATGCTGAGAAATAATAGAAGAGTCCAAATCAGTCCTTCCCTTGAACTTGAAACTGGCTGCGATATATATAGCACGTAATCATTGAAGAGAATATGCAGCCATGTCCTCCTTTTTTCCATGCCCCAGGCAAATGCAATATCATGGAATTGAAATTCCAAATAGTTGCATGTTGTTGCTATGAAATATGTTGAATTCTTGCCTTCAAATAGGATGTGTCATGGAAGTTACTGCAATGAAAAATAATTATTCTTCTGGGCCGTTGAGATTACATCCACAGGCAAGTTTTTGCTTTTGATAAGTCGGAAAGAATGCTCATTAGTTTTGTTTTGTTTTGTTTTTTTTTTTTTTTTTTTTGGAAGACAAGAAACACTATATATATATATTGATAGAGGGGGTAAAAAGATGATAGTTCGTTCAATCACATTCCTTCAAGCTTCCAAGGTGAGAAACTGAAAGTAGAAAAAATATATATGTAGAGAGACATAAATATGAAATTGCTTAGAACAAGCAGAGAGATGTGCGAGCATGCAACATTATTATAATCACAAAGTTTAAAAAGAATGCCCGTCCAAAATACTAATCTATTAGGTGAGTGATTCTTTAAATTTATGAACTTCAAAAACTCCTCAAGCTTTTGAGCTTATTTGAACTTGCTTGAATATCAGAATTGTTGAATATTATTTTATTTTATTTTTATCTAATTTCAATTTTTATTTTAAAAAATAATATTTTCAATTTTTATTTTATTTTAATATTATTTTATTAATAATAAAAAAAGAATTTTTATATTTGGACTGAGCCAATTTAAGTTCGAGCTTAGCCTAAATTTTTTTGGATAGCCTAAATAAGCTCAAAATAAAAAAATATTCTAAACTCTCAAAATAAACAGATTTTTTTTTCATTTGTCATTTTCAAATTTTACTCTAAAAACTTGCAGATTCCAAACAGACTTTTGTTAAATGGTTAGGCCAAAATTTAAACAAGCCAAACTATAGATCATTGCAAGCACATTAACTTATTTTAATATTTTAATTATAAATAATTTAATTATATCAATCTGGCTACTCAAGGACATTGGATGGTTTAAATAAACAAATGGATTTTTCTTATGTTTTGTTTTCAAAACTTATTTTACAAAATTACTTGTGGACTTTTTTTTAAAACGGATTTTTGTTAAATAGACTGGGCTAAAGTTTAAATAGATTAGATTGTAAGTTTTTACAAACCTATTTACTTATTTTAATATTTTGATAAAATTTAATTATAAATATTTTTCATAAGTATCATTTTATAAGAGGTAATCCTATTTAAGATACTAAAAAACGTTAATTTGGACATTTTTTTCAACAAGAATAATTATAAATAATTTAAGCATATCAAACAAGCCGAGAGTTTTTGGCTGCTGCAACTTGGGATGATATGGCAAGATATGAGACACAAGATGGATTGAACGGTGTGGATGGGAGTGTTGCTCAGGGACTCTAAGAGATGGCTGCTGAGAGGATTCGGACCTAGACTCATAAGAAACATTTCTTTGGAGACAAGCTTTTTCATGAAATATAAGAAAAAGCAGATTTTTCAATTGAAGAGCATAGTTATGACTGAAATTTGAAATCCACCAAATTGCTGATATGGAGCAGAATATATTGAAACCTGATCAACATTTAGGTAGTATTTATATTGGTCGATTTGGATTTTATATTTTCATTTTAAATTTCACATTTAAAATTTATGCATTTAAAATCTTTTGTTTAGGTAATTTAAAAGATTTTAAATGCAAAAGAAAAATGAATTGAGATTCAAAACAAAAATTAAAAATTAAAAATGATAAGTTTATTTTCATTTCTTAATGGATAAGAAATGAAAAAAAAAATAAGAGAGTTATAGATGTATAAATAATGAAAATATGGAAATAATAAAATGTTTAAAGTGATTAGAATCTTAAATGATTAGAATGTAAAAGGAATTTGAAATTATCAAAGAATTATAATTTAAAATGAATTTAGATTTGACTCAAATTTAAATTCATAAATTTTTATATATTTAAATTATGATTCAAATTTAATTTCTTATTGATCCAAACATATTTTACTTAAACACAATGCTAGCGAGCTGTTGTGAATTCAACCAAGGAATCATCATGCAGTGAAAAAAGAGAAAAGATGAAAGGCGCATTCTTAATCTTGATCTGTTCTCTTATAGGACATTTGATAGCACAAAAAGGAATATATTGAAGCATTGTAGCATAAGTGGGACCATTATTCAGCTTGTTTGGATTGCATAGATAATCAATTTTTTCAACCAAATAATTGATTTTAACAAAAATTACTGAAACAGTCAAAAATTTTAATAATTAATTATTGAATCAGAATCACATTTTGAGATAAGTTCTGAGAGATTATTTATAGATTTAATTTTACTATTAAATAATATATTTTACTTCTTAAATGAAATTTAACAAATTTAATGATATTAAATATAACTTTATTAATAATTTAGTTTTGAAAAGTAATATCTTTTATAATAATTTATATAGTTAAAATTAATTTTTAAAAAATAATATTTAAATAAATTATTTTATAATATGATCAATTATAATTAAAATTAATCATATTAATTAATTAATTATTTTTATAATTAATTATATTTAATTCAAATTTAAATGGACTTATTGAATCTTAAGTTTTGAAAAGCTCATATATTTATATATCGTGGAACAGATTCATGGCTATCTCTGGTTTTTGTTATGGTGGAATTTATTCGCTTTTGCAGGGCCCACCAACCACATTAACATTTCAGGCATATGCACACACACCATTAATAATTGGCTCTTTATTTTTAAAAGGAGCATATATTCTTTAAAAGAAAAAACCTAACATGCACTATTTATATAACTTTCAATAAAAGTATAAAATCTCATATATATATATATATATATTATAAATGATTATATCTTGTTATAGGGAGAATGACAGTTATATCTAAAAAAAATTTAAAGACATAATTAGGTTTTCAATAAAATATTGTAGAAATAAAATTCAAATATAAATTTAAATAATTTTTTTAAAAATTCAGGAGTTTAGTTATAAGTAAAATATTTAAATTTTAAATATAACAATCAATTTATAATTGAGATTCATGTTTAAAATTATTTAAATCAATATTTGCAACTCATTTATCAAATTTTTTTTATTGAGAACCTAATTATTTATGTTATTAACTTATTATAATTATGTGTTTATTATTATTTTAATAAAAAAATAAAAGTCAATGCTAATATTAGGAGAGTCTTGTAATCTTTGTGTGATACTTTCTAACTCAATTCAAATTAGTCAAAGTTTAATATAACTTTTGAGATATCAGTGACATGATATCAAAATTGAAATTTATGACAAGGTATAAGTCATTTTCCAAACTCTATAAATAAAAAATCATAAATTATATAAAGGCTCCATGTAATATTTAGACCAATGTATTAATTAAATATGAAAATTGAAGTGAATAAATAATTCTAAGAATTGTGATTAATTAAGAGTGTGGCGTGATAGTAAAGAGGGAGGGTTTTGTCGCCACATGAGAAGGCACAACTTGTGGTTGGTTTCAAGGGAGCAGACGTATACGAGAAGGGGGAAAAAAACAGAAGATCATCGTTACATTCGATAATATTGTCACCTTTTTTATTCTATTATAATTATATTATTATATGCGTCTTCATTGTTGTTTATATGTATGATCTTTGATTAAATTAAAAAATAAAGTAAAAAATAAACAAATGTCTTCAGTTCATTCAAAGTGGTTGTCTTTCATTCTATATGGTCCAATCCTACCTTTGTTTTCGCCACTAGATTGGTCAGAAAACTTGTGAAAATGATGGCTTAATTATTCACATTATTGTTTAATTCATATTTTAAAAAAACATAAATTTTAACCAAATTAATGTATGAATTTATTACTTTTTTATTAATATGTTGCAATAAAATATGATATTTTACATTTACTATTAATATGACAATAAAATTGTTTAAAAATAATGGATTAAAGGATGAATTAGGCCTTAAATTATATATTTAGAGGTGTCTAAAATCCTAAACTTATTTTTTATATGATGTTTTTTCCCAACATTTTGAAATGATACAATATTGTTCTATTATTAATAAAAGCTAATATTCACTGTTAATTGACTAAAAAATTATAGAAAAGAACATACTCTCTCCTTTCAAAATGTAAGACATTTTTTGTGAGGTTAGATATTAAAAATGTAAAGTATTTTTATTCTTTTAAGGTGTAATTATTACCCTTTTTTTAAAAGTGTCCTTATTAAATAAATTATTTTATATTTATTTAAGGTGAAACACTCCATTAAATAGGAGTAAATATGAAAAGATAGGATTAATTTAAAGACAAATAATTATTTTATTAAAAGGTAAAATTTAATTAAAAATACCTTACATTTTTTAACGGAGAGAGTAAAAAATTAAAAAATGACCCAATAATTAAAAATATGCTTATTTAAATATTATCTTATTTGTAATTCATAAAAAATAATTGATATTAATTTTATTATATGGTACTAATTTTGCAACTATTAGGTTTTTTATAATTTCTTAAATTATTTTTTTATAATTTTTTGGTTAACAGTATGGATGATGTTGTACTATTTTCAAATGTTCAAAGAAAATATTATACTAAAAACAAATTTAAGATCCAAACATTTATGAATTTATAATTTAAGAATAAATTTACCTTTTAACCCAAAAATAAATGCCAAATTATAACTTCAAAAACCATGATCAATGTATACATGGATTCTATGAATTTGTCAAAGGATCAAAGTGAGAAGCGAGAAGAGGCTACTTGTAATTAGAGACAATCATTTATTTAATTAATATTTTAAATTAAAAAATTGCTGCCACATCAGCTCTTGACAATGCCATGCTTTGCCTCTCATGGACACAACAGGAAATTCATGGGAGAGAGTCATCTGTCATCTGATATCACAAAGCAGTGAAATAAAGTACAGTTGAGCAATATATTATTCTTTAATTTAATTTGATTCTTTCTTGTTGATATAGGTTGCTATTTTTATATTCTCCAATTGCCCCCAATGTCACATTCAACTTGCACTTACTTTGTCTTATATATGCCAAAAGAAAAAGAAATGCTTGCACTACCATCGAGTTAGGGGAAAATTATGGTGAAGGACCCAGGTTTTATAGAGCTCTGGTTAAAAGATTTTAAAAATTATAAATATTTCCTAAGTTTAATTTTTTTTTAAATTCTAATGTTTACATATAGATTCCCTAAACAATCTTTTTAATCTTGGGTAAGAAAAAGTAATCATCTAAAGGATACCGTTTAATTAATTTTTATGATTCAAATACATTAGCAATAATTTTTATTCCTAAAGAAGAAACTCGTATAAATGAGTTATTATTCTGTGTTAAAGTTAAACCCTCAAAAAACCTAGAACAAACTAATTTAACCTTGGTAAACAAAACTACCAAGGGAAAAAAAAACAAAGTATAAAATGACAAACTTGACAAGTCCATTGTTCAATCCCATTAACAACTCATGCCTCCCTGTATGGGCCGTAGTCACAAAGTCATTTGTTTCTTGAATAAGTTCCTTTTGAATCTTTCCCTTTTTCTTTTCTATTTATATTATTATATTCCATTTTTTTAATGCAATCCATCAATTCAACCTCATGAAGAACAAGTTTTATTTAGCTGGTGTAATCATTCAATGTTGTGGGGTTTTTCTTCTTTTCCTTTGTACAAACAGAAACCATGCCTTTATCAAACAAGCATCAAAGAAAGAATCAAGAAAAAGTTTGCACAGTGAATTAGACAGTGTTTGGCTGTTCCGTATATCAAGGAAACATTCTCTCCCAAACAGAGTCACAATTATTAGTTCACCCAGAATCTTCCCAACTCGTTGGAGAATAACACTCTGGACATCGTTCAGTTACTTTCAGCGAGAGAGAAGGAGAAAATTATTATCATCAAATACAAAAAAGCAAAGGGGAAAAAGTGGAAAGCAAGAAAATTCTTCAACAACAAACAATGCCACTGTGCAGCTTTCATCGAATTCCTGGAAAGGTGTGTGTTTTATTTATTTGCAGACATGGGTATGCCACAAGAAGCAAGATATGTTAAGTTTCTGATTTTTTGTCACTTTTCTCTTTCTCTGTTCTTACTTCTCACAGCTTCTTCACATGAACGTGGAAATTTTTCACGGTTCTTGGACTCTGAGGGTGATTTATATTGAGTGATTGGGTCTTGCTCCATTTTCTTCTAATCTTCAGTAATGGGTAGTAACAGTAGAGAAATTAGAGATAGTGCAGGTACTTCTGGAGTTAAGAAGCTTGACGACAGCTTGGAACATGAACTAAGTAATGGGTTTTCAGATCTAATGGTTCAGGATCCTCCATGTGGTGCTAGGGCATCTGAACCGTCCCCTGCTCCCATGATCACCTCACAGGTCAGATGAATTTTCCTTTAGGAAAATTATGGTTCTTTTTTTGTGCTGTGATATTTGCTTATTCTCGTGAGTCCTAGAACAGTGACTAGGAATTGTACTGAAGCAAGCTCTGAAACAAGACGTCTTTGCTGTTTTCTTCTGTGGTGAATCCATCACATGAGGTTCAACTTTGAACTTGAGGCAGAAAAAGCACTCTGTTTGAACTTCGAGTTGTGAGATGGTGTCTAAAATTTGCAAGTATTTTCTCTCTAAACTATTTTTGACCTTTTTGGGGTTGAGGTATTTTTGGACTTTATCAGAGTTCAAGAGTATAGAATTTCTTTGACACTTTATTTCCTGATCAGAATGTATAATTGTCATTCTGAGTTTCTATGAAGAGAAACATAAGCAGTCATGTTGAGGCTGTGATGTTTTGCAGTTCAATGATGATTTTGTGGCAAAGAGCTGTAACTGTATTCATGTTCACTACTTTTGTCTGTGTCTCCTTTACGTGTTAGCATTTGAGCTTCTCGAGTGTCCATGAACTCAAATATTGAAAAGCTAAAATCTTTGGGTGTCTATTTTCCAATATCAAGGTTTCTAGAATGGCAATTCAAAGATCTCCTGGACAGCCAGCAAGAACCGGGTTGCTGCAAAATGGGTATTTAGAGTCAATGGTTCATGAACAGTTGAGAAGAGTGAAGTTCTCATGGAATTATCCTGGGAATAATGTAGCTATTGCAGGATCATGGGACAACTGGGAAACCACGTAATTAATTAATTATTATCCACACTTTTTTCTTCTTCTTTCAGTTTGTTGATTTTAAAATCATAGTTTGATATCAGAAATTGTTCTGTTCTGTCTTTTCCTTGTCAGGAAGGCTTTGCAGAGAGTGGGGCAGATTTTTGTTGCTGTAAAAACTCTCCCAGTAGGTATCTATCATTACCGTTTCATTGTTGATGGCTTTTTCACTTATGCTCCAGAATTGCCTTGGGCTTGTGATGATTCTGGGTATGCCTACAATATTTTGGATTTGCAGGTAATTCCATTGATGATAAACCCCATCTTCACAATTGTTATATCTGCTTCAGGAAAACACTGTTTTGATCCATGACATATATACACTCCAAAGTCGTAGATTTTTTCTGATACATGCTTCAGGAAAACACCTTTAGGAGCATGTGTGTGTGTATAGTTAGATCGCAATCTTACTGCAATCAAAGTAAAAGCAACATTCTTTTCTTGTTCTTGATACAAAACATGATCATCATTCTTTAATCTAAACTCACTGGACATAGACAGAATTTCTTCACCTGCATTGTTTCCTTTCATACAGAATGTATCAGAGTCCTTTGGACAGATATTAAATTATATTAAATGTATAATCTTGATTGTGGAATTTTATGGCATCACATCTTGATGCTGCATCTCTTGCTTTTGTTTACTTGATTAGTAGATCATCCTACTTGTTAAATGACGATGCCAAATCAGTTATCTTGATTGCATGTGGATTCCATATCAGTTATTTTTCTCTCTACACGGCGCAAGTTTTCACAGAATTCAGAATCTCAATTACCAGAAATATTCAGTTCAAAGGAAGAGAGAGAGAGAGAAATAAAGAAAATCCCCAAAAAGATATTTTGGAAAAATTAATCATTTGGTTCTCATAATTTTGATCCAATTGTCACTCAGTCTCTAAATTTTAAGTTAATACAACTCGTTTCCTATAGTTTGACTTTGTTATAAATCAGCCTTTAAACATTGATTTGGTACAACTCAATTCCTAAGTTTTCAAAAAATAACTTTAATTCTCATAATTTTATTTTTGAAAATATAGATATCAACATTTTAAATGATTAAAACTATAGGAATGAAATTGCACTAAGATAGAGTTTAGAGATTGAGTTGCAATTAAGTCAAAATTATAAAAATTAAGTTGTATCAAGTCAAAATTTAGGGACTGATTTACAATCGAGTTAAAATTATAATGATCAAATAATTAATTTTCCTTTTTTGTTTTATCAATGCCCTTTCTAAAATCTGAATAGACTCATGCAGCAATGACCATTTGAACATCCTCTTCTTTTGTTTCTGCAGAATACTCTAACTTAGCTCATGATAAACCATATTTTACAGGATTATATTCCAGAAAATCTGGCAAAATTATCAGGTTTTGAATCTCCTCCATCACCACCATGGAGCTATGACAACATATTCTTAAATGAAGAAGAATTTGATAAGCCTCCACCAGAATTACCACCACAAATGCCAGTGACTGTAAGGGATGAACCTTCATCATCCACTGACAGTCATCAGACTTTCCTTAGACCTACTCATCTTGAACTGAATCATCTCTACGTTCACAAAACTGAAGGAGAACCATTTGTTGTACTGAGATCAACTTCTAGGTTTCAACTCAATTATGTCACCACACTACTATACAAATCCCTGAGAAGAGAAACATGATCAAACATGAAACACGCATGGTTTTCATCCGTTATTGGTAGGACTTGTCTGGTTTTTCAAGCGTTGATGATGATATTTGTTGAGTTTTAATGAATTTGTTCTGCAGAAAGTGGGCTGAATTGAAAACAAGTAAATATGAGATAGCCTGCCATGTCAAACATCTATCAAGGTTTCTTTCTTCGACCAAAAACGAGAAACAAAGTAATATATTACTCAATATGGCTGTCAATAATACGTTGTAGTTATTATTGATACGGCTGTGATGCAGATATATTCACCTGGCAAGTCTGTAGCATCTATTAGCTTCTATTAATGTATTCTTTTGGTTGGTCATGTTTTTTTTCTTTTGCAGTCTGAGATTTTGATGGAGTGCATTTGATGTTGTAATTTTTAAACGATAAATTTTTCTACTTGAAGGCTTTATTTCAGTACTCTAAAATGCCAATTTGATTCTTGTTATAAAGCACTTTTTAAGATAGATAAATGATTCTTGTTACAAGTCATTTGATGATGTATTAATTAAGTTTTTTTTTTAGTATTATTCCTATAAAGTCATTATGTGTGAGAGGAAATGTGACACAAATATGAAATTTTTCTATTTAAATATGAGGAAAAATAAATTTTAGATAAAATTAATAATTTAACATCACTTCTTGGTTACAATGAGTTGAGATGATTAGAGATGATTAGAGGTGTTTTATGATAAAAATTGGAGAGATATTTTCTTTAATATTTTGCTCAAGTGGAGCCCACTAACAAATGAATGACAAAATCTAATGTAAAGTTGATGGGGCCGTCCCATAAGCGACAACTAATACAGCATCAAGAATTTTCTGGATTGAACCAAAATAAATTAACTAAAACTGAACAAAAGGAAAAAAATAAAGTCAAAATCGATTTAACCATTTTGGTTTAGTTCGATTACAAACGAATCAATGGATAAATCGCACAGAGAACCATGGGTGTTTATTTTCTCTGAATTGCTAAGATTTGATTCGGATGGCTTAGATCTTATTATTAATTTATTCCATTTTAACATATTTCTATCCTAGAGGCAGAGAGAATCAGAGATGCATGATGGAAACGATATTTTAACTCGTAAATTGTCAAAAAAAAAAAAAAGGGATACACGGTGGTAATGAGAGATGCATGATAGAAACAATATTTTAACTGGTAAATTGTCAAAAAAAAAAAAGGATACACAGTGGTTTAGATCTAAAAATGAAGAAAAATGTAAAAATAAAAAACTTGGCAGTCAAAAATGAAATCTGCTCCCTCTTTTGGTCTCATATAATTTCGTTCTAGTTCTTTTTAGCAAATCACTTTACATAAAAAATTTATCGTTAATCACTTTCTATTAATTTTATCTTTTTGCAAATTTTCGCTGAATAAAGTGAATTGTTAGATATGACAGAATTTTTCAAGATCATACATTTACTAAAGGTAAAATAAGAAATTTCTTTTTTTTTTCCCTTCTAAACAAGATCAATAATTTAACTATCTCTATTTAATTTTTGACAAAGTAATTAAAAATGACTTGTACATAAAACCGAAGGTGGAATGAGTATAGAGAAGATGTATACATGGTGCACATCCAAGTAAATAAATCCAAACAAGCACAAATACACAGGATTTAGAGAGTAATTAATTTAATTAATTAAAACCATGTGAAAACCTTTAAAACCAATGTGAAACCTCAAAAGCTGTCTTGATGAAACTTTTTAAGAAATGAAATCCCATTTTTACTTAAAAAAAAAAAAACAAGTCTTCATGTGTAATTGTTTCTTTATGACATTATAACGCACACTATAATAAAATACAGAAATTCAAGGTTAGAATGTACAGAGAGCAATAAAAATGCAGACCAATATTGATGATTTTCCCATGCTTCTCAGTAAAAGGGAGAAAGTGCTGCTCTATAACAGCATTCACAGAAAACTGTGTTCATCATCAAAGTGATCCATAACATATTATCCGTACAAGAAGGAATTGTACTGATAAATACATAATATACGTTTACTGCAGAAGAACCTTAAAGATAGAAAAATAGTGTGAGGTTTCATCGAACAGGAACCTTAATCCAACCATTAGCAAAAGCAATGGCTAAGATTACAAAAGGAGTTGACATACCAAATATGATAATGTAAGGAAGAGGCGTCTTCATGGGATTCTCTCCTTCCCTTTCACCTGCTGTTTGCCAGTACCTGTTCGTAATAGCAAACAACATCACTCACTTTTTAGGCCTCAGATATTGCTCCTAACCAGAAAATTAACCCACATTATATATATATATATATATATATATATATAATGTTGTAATTTCAAATTCCCTTTTATTTAAAATGTGTGCTACTCTAACATTGGTTTAGATGGGGAGAAAAATAGGGAGGAGAGAATCCTAAGAAAAAAAATTCTCAAAAATAATAATAAAATTACTATTTTTGACAGTTTTCTCTCCTAATATTCTTTTTTTTTTTACCCTCTCATTTTCCTCTTCATTCAAACCAAACCCAGGGGCGTGTGTGCCTTAGGCCTCAGAAAAGGGTCACTTATACCCTTTATAACTATCATTATTTTTCTCGTTAAGCATTAATGTTAATTGTATATTTGCATTTAAAATTTATTACTTGCTTATATCCTATATAACAAGCCATTAAGAAAAGTGATATGAAAATAAATATAAATAGTACTTCCTTTGGTCCCTATTTGGTGCTTTCAACAACTTTACCAAAATGAAGGAATAGCAATTAACTCATTTAATATGTCTTAAAATGAAAAGAATTTCAACTTTACCCCTATTAAAAATAAAAAGGGAGAAGGGAGAAATACACAATAAATGATAAGTTATAAAATTCAATTTACAGTAGGGGTAAAATTGAAAAATGATAATAAATGATCCTTCATATACCTTATATTAAGAACTAATGAATCTTTTTAGAAGATGTCCTATAATAGAGATTGAAGAGAGTAATACATTATGCCTCTTAATAATTTGTCTTAGGCTCTAAAATTCCTTCACACGGCCCTAACCAAACCTAGCCATTTACTCTACGTTTTATTGTGACTGTGTTACTATTGTCGCTTCTCTCATCTCTCATGCTTGTTTCTTAGGAAGAATAAAGTAAATTCTGTTACTCCGAAATTTTTGTCTTCAAATCTCAACTCATTTCTATTGTTAATTTTTTACTTATCAAAATAAAAAATTTTTAATAAATGGATTGCAAATAAAGCTGATAATTCATGTAAGATAGACTTATTCTAGCCAGACTTATTTAAATTGAGTTTAAAATATCCAAACATGTAAAAGAAGTTTATATAATCAAGTTCAGGTCTAATAATTTAGGCTTTCAGGCCAACCAAATAACTGAATTGTTAAATATTATATTATTTTATTTTATTTGTTGAGCCAATTTTAATTTTTATCTTATAAAATTTTATGATTTTCAAATTTTATCTTATTTTTAATTTTATTTTATTAATAATAAAAAAATTTGAATATTTGGGTTAAGTCAATTTCGATTTGGGATTGGCTGGAATTTTCCACCTTATTCTGCCGATCAAATGAGTTTGAAGTTAAAAAAAAAAATTATAAACTTTCAATTGCCTTAAAATTTATTGAGTTTAACTCAAATTATCAATTCTAAAAGTAAGTGTAGATTTGTTTTTTTTAAAATATAAACTGTAATCTCTATTAACAATAACTAACGGAACACAAAGTACAAAGCAAATATAGGGAGAACTCAATAATCAACCTCTAACTGCTGGAGAAGAGGTGTTTGGTGATCAAAGAGGCAAAAGTTCGCCTCAATCCTGTAAGAAAATCTAGCAAGGAAGTGAGCCTCTATAAAACTATCCCTCTAAACATGACTCAAGTAAATTTGCCAGTCTCTATGGAAATGTAAATGTAGATTTTAAACATAAAATTCAAATTCAAATCCATGAATCTAAAGTATACCGACTAAAGAAACTGGGAATTCTTACTGTTGCGGTTCTTCCTCTCGGGTAATAAATTTCTTCTTTCCCACCTTCTTGGTTTCTGAATCCTCTCCACCTGAGAGCAAGAGAAGAAGAGATTCTTAAAGCAACTTAACAATCTCAGTCTCAATTCGATGCAACAGAGTGGACATTAAAAGAGCGAGAGATAGAAAGTCAGGTAAAAGATACCGAGCCTGGCATGAAGTTTGAAACGAAGAGGCCTTGTTCTGGCAAGAGTGAAGAATGGACTCAACAGAGCCGAAGCAGAAGAAGAAGGGTTCGGTAAAAATGAAGACTTGTTGAAAGTGAGGGAACAAGAGAGAGCTAAAACTTTGGCTGCCATTTCTTGCGAGATTTTGTGCTCCACTGAGCCATCACCTCTCTGTCGAACACATATGAGCCAGGTTTGGATATTGTCTTCCTTCCGCCACTGATATTTTGTTTTTGGATGCTTGCCTTATCTAAAATATTAAGTGGCCCCACGCCACGTGGCGCTCTTTAATTTTTTAATATGGAATGGAAAAATAAAAACTAAAAATATTTCCATTATTCGTGCGTACAGGTTCGGACCGTAAGGATAAACAACATGAGGCATCAAAATTGAGATTTTTGGGCCTTGATCTGGTTCGGTTTCGCCTCCATTTCCTCGTTTCGGCCCGAGTTTAACTGCTCCAACCTCCAAGTCTCAATTTTTTTTTGATTCATCGTCTTCCCCTTTCCCGATTGACGATCCAGAACAGTTTCTCTCATCAGTCTCCCTTGCTTCTCTCTCCCTGATTTCAACTTGAAAAGCCTATTAACTTCATCTTCTACCTAACTTTCACAGGCTTTCCTTTCCCTTTTTATTGTTTCCCTGGAACTATTCCATTCGTGCGCGTAATTACACTCTTCAAGCTTCAACTATGCAGAATCATTTAAGGGGTCTGGGCCTCTGACCAGCATTTCTGTTCACTTCTTCACCTAACAACCAATAAATTTTGTTAATCATGAGAATCCATTTGCCTCCTGTAGTTTACTGTCGCTTCTCCCTATAAAGAGCCATTCCTATCTTGGAATGGGTCACGGGACGATTCAGTATCTATGTAAGATTTTAACTTTAGTGGTGCTGGGGCACGCCCTTCCATTGATTCTTGGATTTAACTTCTTTTTTCTTCACTTTCATTTCACTGAACTATACTGCCCGCCACACTTGCAGGTTCTGTGAAGTACAACATTGTTAAAACTAAAAAGGCGGAGAAACAGAGCCAACATGTGTATTATGACGTTTACTGTTCCGGTACTTCCATGCTGCATTGCAAAGTTTATGTTTTGTCTTCTATTCTGGTGCATCCTAATTACTTCCTTCCTCTAATAATATATTTTCCCTGCACTTCACCCTACACGGGCTGTTAAGATAAGATATTGCATCTTCATCGTTGTTGAGGATTGCCCCAGATCAGTTTTTATTTGTGGTTTAGTTACGTTAGTAATATCCAGATTCCAGAGCTACCTTGTGCTATGTTTCATGCAGAATTATGATTGCCCGCCCCAAAAAAATGTGTCAATAATGTATATTACTGCTTTTGAGCATTTCAATATTTTGTTTGTTTATGGATTGTTTTCTGTAATTCATAATTTCATGCGCATGATTAGTTTGACGTACTATTAATTTTTGAAAAGGACACGGGAACATCAGTTTATGCAGATACATGTTTATTGTCTGCAATTGTTTTTGTAATTCTATACAGGTCCAAACATTTGGTTTTAGTAGACACTTAAATGTATTTTGTTTGACAGTTGTTCCATAAATAAGTTTTCCCTTTTCGTCACTATTTTTCTTCATATTCCTTTGTGATGTAGTAATTATATGCCTGATTAATTTTCAATTTTTTTTCCAGAAGTGTGATTTTAGTGAACATTACTTGCGTTTCCAAATTTATCTAGACAGGAAAGAATTATTGAAATGATAAATGTAGATTCCTGTAGGGATACCTATCATTGTTTCAGTTTCTTTTGTTTGCTTACATGTACAAGTTACATCTTGATAAAGTTCAGACGGAGGGGGCAATCAGCCTGATGGAAACTGTGATCGTGATGAGTTCCTTCCCAAATGTGCAACTTCTGATTGGCTGTTATCATAGCTATCCTAATGCGTCTTTTCACCGGCACAATCTTGTTCACAGATCCAATATGGCCAATAGTGATCATCTGATGCTAGTTGAATAAGAAGATGATTATACTGCAGTAGAAATGCTAAAAGCATGAGCCAAGGATCTAGCCATGGTATGTTTTACTGGTCCGCCATATCCCCTCTGCTGCAGACGACTCTTCCACAATTCAAGACATGCTTTTCATGCACCTGCTGCATTGCCTATCCTTCCATCAGATAACCCTCTACCCTTCAATCCTCAGGACCCAAGCCACCACCATGTCATATCACCTGCTCAGTTATCACAGAATCAGATCCAACTTTCACTTGCTTCGTCTTGTATTTCTTCTTTAAATTTGGAAAATTATGAATTACTCGTCCATCATTACAAAAATTCTAGTTGCTTGAAAGATGCCCATCAACTTCATTTGCAGATCTACAAAACTGGGTTCTCCAATGACGTTTTCTTGTCCAACACCCTTATTAACATTTATGTTAGAATTGGTAAAATGGTTTCTGCACAGAAGCTGTTTAATGAAATGCCACAAAAGAACCATGTTTCTTGGGCTTGCTTGATTTCAGGCTATACTCAAAATGGCAAACCTAATGAGGCATGTAGACTATTCAAAGGCATGATTTGTGCAAACTACTTTCCAAACCACTATGCCATTGGTAGTGTTCTTCGAGCTTGCCAAAAGTGTGGTCCAACTAGACTTTTACTTGGAATGCAGATTCACGGGTTAATTTCCAAGTCACAATATGCATCAGACATGTTTCTGTCTAATACGCTGATGTCCATGTATGCAAATTGTTTGGGTCCAATAGATGATGCTCGTCATGTTTTTGATGAAATACAAATAAAAAATTCTGTAGCATGGAATTCTATCATTTCAGTTTATTGTTATAGGGGGGATGCAGTTTCCGTCTTTGAACTCTTTTCAAGCATGCAGAGGGAATCTATTACCTTGAGGCCTAATGAATATACTTTTGGTAGCTTAGTAACAGCTGCATACTCTCTGGTTGACTGTGGATTGAGTTTGCTTGCACAGATACTAGCCAGGATTGAGAAATCTGGATTCTTACAAGATTTGTATGTTGGTAGTGCACTGGTTAGTGGGTTTGCAAGGTTAGGGATAATAGGTTATGCAAAAATGATTTTTAAGCAGATGTTTGAGAGAAATGCAGTGTCCATGAATGGGTTGATGGTTGGATTGGTGAAGCAAAACCAGGGTGAAGAAGCAGCTGAGGTATTCAGGGAGATGAAAGATTTAGTTGAAATAAACGTTGATTCTTATGCGGTTCTTTTAAGTGCTTTTCCTGAATTTTCTAATTTGAAGGAAGGGAAGATAAAGGGTAAAGAGCTTCATGCTCACCTGACACGAAGTGCCTTAGTTGATGTCAGTGTTTCAATTGGAAATGCACTTGTTAATATGTATGCAAAATGCGGTGCTATTGATTATGCTTGCTCTGTTTTCCATTTTATAGCTGATAAAGATGCTGTTTCATGGAATTCTATTATCTCTGGCCTAGACCAAAATGAGCGATTTGAAGAAGCAGTTGCCAGTTTCTGTGCAATGAGAAGAAGTGGAATGGTGCCCTCAAATTTCTCAGTTATTAGTACTTTGAGCTCATGCGCAAGCTTGGGATGGATCACATTAGGACAGCAAATACATGGTGAAGGGTTCAAATGGGGGCTTGATTTGGATGTTTCAGTTTCAAATGCACTTCTTGCATTATATGGTGAAACCGGTAATCTCAAGGTCTGTCAGAAAATTTTCTTTCTCATGCCAGAGTATGATCAAGTATCTTGGAATTCCTTGATTGGAGCACTCACAACCTCAGAGACAACAGTTTTACAAGCCATAAAATGTTTTCAGGAGATGATGCAAACTGGGTGGAGGCTTAATAAAGTGACATTTATAAGTGTTTTAGCAGCAGTTTCTTCTCTTTCACTCCAGGAACTGAGCCATCAGATTCATGCCTTGATCTTAAAATACTCTGTCGATAATGACAATGCCATTGAGAATGCTCTTCTAGCTTGCTATGGAAAGTGTGGTCAGATGGATGACTGTGAGAAGATCTTTTGTAGAATGTCTGATAGAAGAGATGATGTCAGCTGGAATTCCATGATTTCTGGATATATGCACAATGACATCCTGGACAAGGCCATGGATTTGGTATGGTTTATGATGCAAAGGGGCCAGAGATTGGATGGCTTCACTCTTGCTACTGTTCTTAGTGCTTGCGCCTCAGTTGCAACCTTAGAGCGGGGTATGGAAGTTCATGCATGTGCCATAAGAGCTTGTTTAGAATTTGACATTGTTGTTGGTAGTGCACTAGTTGACATGTATGCCAAATGCGGAAAGATAGATTATGCTTCAAGATTCTTTGAATTGATGCCTTTGAGGAACATATATACTTGGAATTCAATGATATCAGGCTATGCACGCCATGGACTTGGAGAAAAAGCTTTGAAGCTTTTCTCACAAATGAAAGAGCATGACCAATCACCTGATCACGTTACCTTTGTTGGGGTCTTATCAGCTTGTAGTCATGTAGGTTTAGTTGATCAAGGGTTTGAGCACTTCAAATCAATGAGTGAAGTATATGGACTAACTCCTCGAATTGAGCATTTCTCTTGTATGGTTGATCTCCTTGGACGAGCTGGTGATATTAGTAAGATAGAAAACTTGATCAACACCATGCCAATGGATCCTAATGTCCTAATTTGGAGAACGGTTTTAGGGGCATGCTGCCGAAATCATGGCCGTAATACTGAGCTAGGTCAGAGAGCTGCCAAGATGCTTATGGAGATGGAGCCACAGAGTGCTGTAAACTATGTGCTTCTTTCTAACATGCATGCTGCCGGTGGGAAGTGGGAAGCTGTGGCTGATGCTAGGATGGCAATGAGAAAGGCATCAGTGAAGAAAGAAGCAGGGTGTAGTTGGGTCACCATGAATGATGGCGTTCATGTATTTGTGGCTGGAGATCAAAAGCACCCAGAGAAAGAAACAATTTATGAAAAACTCAAGGAACTAACGAGAAAAATAAGGGATGCTGGTTATGTTCCTGAAACAAAATATGCACTTTTTGATCTTGATCCTGAGAGCAAAGAAGAAATCTTGAGCTATCATAGTGAAAAGTTAGCAGTTGCTTTTGTTCTTACCCGGAAATCTGATCTACCAATTAGGATTATGAAAAATCTTCGTGTTTGTGGTGACTGTCACACTGCTTTCAAGTACATATCAAAGATTGTTAATCGACAGATAATTTTACGAGATTCAAACAGATTTCACCATTTTGGTGGTGGCAATTGTTCTTGTGGGGATTATTGGTGAATGATTCTATATTTATTGTGGAGACTTCCATGTTACAAATATGGAAATATTGCCTAAGGCTCTTCTTTTACATGGCACTGGGGGGAACTAGGTTAGCATGATCACATCTATTACTAGGTGATGTTAATTTGCATTTACTGGCTGGCTGCTAGAAAAAGAGAGATTAGGTAGATGGAGAAAGTGAGACTTGAGACAGTCATTTAGTAATGTAATGGGTAAACATGTAGGATAGTGCCTATGCTGTATGTTAATTTGACATGGTCTTGCAATGCGGTTTGAATTGAACTTCATGTCTTTAAGCTGTTGTGCAAATGTGCAAGAGCTTGGAAATACTGCTGATCTTTCTGATACGATATTCAAGAACAATTTTTCATTCACCTAGTATTGCAGTTTGCTCTGTTTTGGCATAGCATCAATATTTCCCTCCTTTGAAATTATACACCAATTATAAGACAGCTAGCGATTGTAGATTTACTATTTTAGATGAATAAGATGCTAGAGTATTTTCTCTAATTCGATTAGTGCGTGACTACTTTCTGTGACATTTTGATTTGTGTCCTTTGGTGTTGGTTGTTATAGCTGTTGAATTGTGGATTTTTTTTTTCATTGTTGATGTGATTACATTGCAAAATTTTGTTTTGAAAAATATTTGCATTATCTAGAGGGCTAACAAGAACAAGATGAAGGATATGATAAATTTATCATGTCACCCCCTTTATGAAAAAAAGTTGAAATATTGGTTCTTATTGCTTAAGTAGCATAACATAGGCAATTGCATTTATTTGTTGATGGGGTTTTTTATTGCAAAATATCCCCACCTGTCCAATCTTGTTCCTTGTCAGATTGATGATCTGTGAAATAGATATATTTGTTTCATAAATCATCTGTGATGTTTTTAGCCAGTATGAGTTTGCAACTACGCACATTCAGCATTTGGTTTAGCAACATAATACATCGAGTGTAGCTTGCATGTTCAATAGTGAAAGAAGTGGATAATTATTTTATCTACTTTTTCTAGTGTTAAACATGCAAAGGTTAGCTTGATTACTAGTTTCAGTAATATTCTAACAAACAATTTATGCATAAGATGACCATGATCTACTGTGTTTTACAGAGATAAGCAGATGGTAACATGCTTTAAGCACAGAAGGGAGGCATATGCTGAAGTGAGTTGGATCGTTTTCCTGTCTGGTATGCAACACCTCTTATATAATTTACTTTATGCATACTGCAATCAGCGAATGCCTTGAATATTAGCTATTATTCAATTATGAATAGCGCAGTTTATTAGAGTTTTTATATTATAAATGGACAAAATTAATTTTTTTTTGTATATAATTATATATATATGCCTCATGAGTAATTGTTTAAGTAATAGTTATTCTTATTTTTATGTATACACATTGTTTAATTTTCCATCGTTTATGTTGAATAATTTAATAATCTAAGGGGCTTGAATGACCGATAAAATCTCATGAGAGCTGGAATGATAAGTTTAACATTATAGGAGACAGATTTATTTCAGGTTTCACTTGACTATCTGTTATTGGATGAAAAATACTGCAGGGTACCTAAGTGGAAAATAAACAAATCTCGAAGGTTTATCCTTGCTCACTTCCAACACAGTGGCAAAACTAATTTTTGAGCCAAAGCAAAGGAGAGCGAAATGTAATTTACCCTATAAATTAGAGTTAAGCTTGCAAGATAAACTGAATGATTGCCAATATTTTCTTTTCTTCCATCCTAACTTATAATAAATGTTGAACCTTTTTTTTTTCTTATGGCGATTTGTTTAATTGACCTTTTCCCTTTATCTGGTTTCTTACACGGTGAAGTATGAGTTTGTAACTTGTGAGTTAATACTGTTTCTGATTTATCTAGAAACTAAAAATGAAACCATCAAATAACTTATGGATTCGGCGCCAACAATGTCCATGTGGAGATTGGAAGTGTTTTATTAAGTATGATGGAGATGATCAGATATCAGTAAGATCTTCGGCCACAAAGACTGATACAATGCCTTCATCATCATCAGAAGCTGTCTTCACTCCTTATGTAGGTCAAATATTCAAAAGCGATGATGATGCATTTGAATACTATAGCAATTTTGCCCGGAAGAATGGATTTTCAATTAGAAAAGCTCGCTCAACAGAAAGCCAACATTTAGGAATATACAGAAGAGATTTTGTTTGTTACAGATCTGGGTTCAATCAACCAAGAAAAAAGGCCAATGTGGAGCATCACAGAGAGCGAAAATCTGTACGATGTGGATGTGATGCAAAATTATACTTGACTAAGGAAATTGTTGATGGCATTGCTCAATGGTATGTGTCGCAATTTAGTAATGTTCATAACCATGAATTGTTGGAAGATGACCAAGTACGACTTCTACCAGCATATCGTAAGATACAAGAGGCTGATCAGGAACGCATTCTTCTACTGTCCAAAGCTGGATTTCCCGTAAACCGTATTGTGAAGGTGTTAGAGCTTGAAAAGGGAGTTCTGCCTGGACAGCTGCCTTTCATAGAAAAGGATGTTAGGAATTTTGTTCGGACTTGCAAGAAAGCAGTTCAAGAAAATGATGCTTTACTTACTGAAAAAAGAGAGAATGATATGCATGAACTTGTGGAGACCTGTAAGGCAATGATAGACAAGGATCCCAATTTTGTTTTTGATTATCTTGCTGATGAAAATGGTAAAATTGAAAACATAGCTTGGTCGTATGGTGAATCTATTCGGGCATATTCTGTTTTTGGTGACGTTGTTACTTTGGACACCACATACCGTTCTGTTACTTATGGATTACTTCTTGGTGTGTGGTTTGGCATCGACAATAATGGAAATGCAGTCATATTTGGGTGTGTGTTGTTGCAAGATGAAAGTTCTTATTCATTTGCATGGGCTTTACAGGTGTGTAGATACAATTCTTGTTCTGCAGTTGCTTGAATTTCAGGCAATTTTTTTCTCACATTTTTTTGTCTTTTGAACAGACATTTGTAGGATTTATGAGAGGGAGACATCCACAGACAATTTTAACGGACATAGATCCAACTCTGGGAGATGCCATTTCCAAGGAGTTGTCTGAAACTAAACATGTTATATGCACTTGGCATATTCTATCAAAAATATCAAATTGGTTCTCTGTACCCCTGGGACTACAGTATGCAGATTTGAGGTTAGAGTTTAATATATTATGTCACCTGGAGGGCATAGAAAATTTTGAGCAGCAGTGGGATCTTTTTGTAGCTCGATTTGGACTTGTTTCTGACAAGCATATAGCTTTGCTATTCTCACTTCGAGCATCCTGGCCACTTTGTTACGTAAAGAGTTACTTTATTGCTCGTTCATTAACAGCTGAGTTTTCTCAATCTTTGGACTTAATCTTAAAAAGAATTTTGGATTCCCAAGCATGTCTGCAAGGATTCTTTGAACAGGTAGATTGGTCACTCCTATATTTGGCTCTCTGGATTACGACTGTTCTAAAGATTCTTGATTTGTATAAATAAATATTTTCTTTTCCCGGGGAGCTTGCAGGTAGGTAATGTCGCCACCTCATCAATGTTGGCAAGAGAAGGGATTCACTACATGTGTATAAAGACATGCATGCCTATTGAAGAACATGCAAGGAGCATTCTTACACCTTATGCTTTCAATGTGTTCCAAAATGAAGCTGTGCTTTCAATGCAGTATGCAATGACAGAACTGACCAGTGGATCCTACCTTGTTCAGCACTACAAGAAAATGGATGAAGAGCGCCTTGTAATTTGGGTGCCAGCTGACGAACAAATTCAATGTTCCTGTAAGGAATTTGAACATTCGGGAATATTGTGCCGGCATTCGATTCGTGTACTTACAATGAAGAACTACTTCCAACTACCCATGAAATATTTTCTCCCTCGGTGGCGACGAGAAAGTTCGATGGCTCCTTTTGATGACCAAAATTCTCAGAGCAGTGATGGGTGTGCTCAGGCTTTTCATTCTTTGGCAGCCACCCTGCTGACAGAAACATTAATCTCCAAGGAACGGTTTAATTATGTTCATAGAGAACTCACTGGGATTCTCGAGCGTGTTAAGAATATGGAAGCTGTGGATGAATTTGCTATCAATGCGGCAGCTAATAATGTCAGTGAATCCTAGATTTTTGTTTAAGCATGGTTTTATTTATTTATGTGGGAGGAACTTGGATCCTATTCCTTCAAAATTTAGAGTATAGAAGATACAAATAAGGAGATATCTGAAGCATAACATGTAACTAGTGATGTTAATATGCTTGCTTTCTTGTATATAATCAATAAGAAAATTCTTTTCTTTCTCATGGAGCGTTCTGGTGCTTTGAAATGAGTTTTACTGCTAGCATACTGTTTTACAAGCTTGATGGACCATTTGGTTACTCACTGTTTCGTTTCTGTAAAATTGTTCTCTCGTGTTTCATTTATGAATTTGTAAATTTTCTATTGCCTTATCTGCCCAGCCTTACAAGTCAAGGCCCTCAAGGAGCAACTTATTAGCATGAAATGTCTGAAAATTCTGAAATTTCCTTGTAGAATTCAAGTTCCTAATTGAAATTAAATTTTGAAACAACAATGCCATTTGATTGTATTATGTAAAATAATAGGCGCATGTATATATATATATATATATATATATATTTGATAAACCAGTGGCAAGCACAGATAGAAGTCTCCGTCTACACGTGCTCTTCATGCATGAAATCCAATTAATACACAAAAAACTCTAGAATATTGTCAATCACGACATCATGAACGCACTGTGTTCAACTGTCAAGGATTTAAAGTTCACAAGATATGGATAAGGATACGGCCAAGTCTCAAGCACAGAGTATAATCATGTGTTTATATATATGACATTTTGTTCCATTATTCTGCATTCTTGCCTTGTAATAAATGCCATTCGCTTGCTAAGATTTACAAGCAATGAGTTTATTGATATTTACAAATAAATGCGGGTACCATGTAGTCCTCAGCCCTCACGCGAGGCTGAAAGGTGTGGGGGGGAAAAGGATAATATAGTTTTAGTATATAAACTTTGTTTTAATTATCAATTCATTCCTTAAATCTTAATTTAACAAAAATCGATTTTATAATTTATTGAGTTAAGAAATTATAAAATTTGAATTTGATTGAATTGTAACCAGTCAAAAAACTATAAAAATTAAGTTATTTTAAGTTAAAATTTAGAGAAAATTAATGATTTTAAAAAAACTCAAAAGCCAAAAGTTAAATTTTCTTTTTTAAAAAAATTGCTCACGTGACACTACTAGAAAACTGATCATGTTTAAATTCGTGACCCATTTTTCATCAAATGATATGCTAGCCTTTCTATAATTTTATTCTCCGTCTCTAAACTAATTCAAAAAATACAATGAACTTTTCAACATAAATCCTAGGATCTTATGAAATCCTTGACTATCAAATTTCTGAGAAATTGTGAGACAAAACAGTTCCATTTCCAATCCAGAAGCTTCCAACCAATTAAAATACTAACACATTGTTCACATCAATCAAACACATGACAGCATGTACGTATTCGAGAGGACCAAGATTCTCAATTTTTTCTATCACAACTCTCATGAAGATTTTGGGGGGTGGGGGGGGGGGGAATATTTTTCATTTAATGGGAAAATTATTTTCCTTCTCATTAACCCCTTCAAACATTCTGGTGTTTAATCTTGAAATTAGTTCTCCTTTATAAATATGCATGTGTAGTGCTTTTTAATCTTGCACGTGATGCTTCAAGATTGAAGGACATATCACACAATAGTATAAATGTTGGGGGGGGGAAAGAATGATACAAAACAATTGTATGAAAAATCAAATGATCAAAAAGGGGGAAAAAATGAAAGGAAAGAGCAGAGAGAAAGAGAGAAAATTTAAAAAGTGAAATGGGTGCGGAATCGTAAGAGGAGCCAAGCCGATGGCACAAAGAAAATGGCTCCTTTGGAGTAATTAAGGAGACATGACAATTACAAAAGATTGTCTTTTTGGTCAAATTTGTTGATATTTTACGATTGTCATTTCTGCTCAATCTGAAGAGACAATTTTTCTTTAACATGTTAAAATTTCATTTAAACCAATCATCTGTTGTTATATTATAATTATAAATATTTAAACAAGAGGTCTACATAACATACATATTCAATAATCAATTAAGCTGAAAAACAAGCATTTTAACATTTTAATTTGCTTGATATTGCTAATATATTGATATGATTACGTAAATTTACATTGTATATGAAGATAAACAAGACGGAACACAAATCGATACTACGTCATTCCGATCGACCATGTTTTGAACTTGAATTCAAACTCAATTCAATTAGCCATCCATATGCACTGCAAAAAAAAAAAAGAAAACTGATTTGGCGACAGTGAAGCAAAATTAAACCATGGAAATATATACTATGAAGAATATATAGACTGTCTTAAACGATTTTTTAGGTTTTGCTCCTGCTAATAGTAGTGTCAAGGTTTATAAATAAAATTGCATCATACTTGAATTAAGAATGTTAACGCTTAAATAAATTGAAGATATATTTAGAAGACGCATCACGTACGTCCCTGTTAGTTGAGAAACCCGAATGATCCTAACCATAACCTTTTCATGGGGACGATTTCTTCCAAGCATTCACATTTCGTTATCTTATCTTCAAATTTATTAAGTAGTTGTCAGTGAGGCAGTGACAGATACAAGTCTTAATCTACACATGTGCTCTTGAAGCTTGACAAATGAAAATCCACTAGAGAGAAAGACTAGTTTGTGAATGACATATTGAATTAAAGCTTTCATCGTCGCATATATATTTTGTTTGCTACTTCCCCAAAAATTTGAATATAATGGAGTTCTTTCTGATTTAATTAGTTTTCTCATGAACATGCATGCATGTTGTTCGTATAAATTACTGTATGCTAGTGTTGTTGCGTCTCTACAAGTTTGTAATCTCACTATCAAATTATATGAATCAATATAATTATATATTGGTGGGGTCCATAATGTTGAAGAAGTCATGAACATAGTTAATGATCTCGTCTCAGTCTTTACGCCTCTTGCTCTTGACTGTGATATCTTTGTCCGTTGTGTTCGGTTCTCCGGGGACCCAGATCTCCTCAAGTATGTAAAGTTCATCTTTAAAATTTCTTTTTTGGCTTTTTATACGAATGTTTTCTTATTTTTAGTTGACTAAACTTGTGTCACCTAATGGGTCTATCTATCGATTATATTTGATACTTTTTAAGTTCAGAAGGTATTTTTTTTTTTAAATCTGATTTGGTTATTCTTTTGGAATAATTTTGTTGAAATCATGTTCATACATGGTCTATGGGGTTTGGATTTTCAGCGTCGCAAATCCTCTGATCACCTAGTGAATGTCCATATTATAATTATATTATTCCATTAATGCTTGAAAATTCATACTCAACCAAAAATAATTGAAATAGTGAGTTAATGGGTGATTTATGAGGCTGTATTTTTCAACCATTTCTCTGTAGCTATATGAATCATTGGATTGAAATACAAGGCACAATAAAAGGCAAAGCTATAATTTAGCATTATATATATATATATATATATTGTACCAACATTTAATTGAATCAACAAATCTCAATAATATCATGCGAGACATTTACTGGACGAGGCGATTTGAGACGCTTACTGAATCGAAACCGGGATCTCTTATAAGTTGGGATTTATGTGTAGTTACTAAAGTTGAAATGAAACAGAATATCATCGGTATTTAATCTCTGTTTACTTTTTACTCATTGTCGGGTCTAGGACTTTTACTTCTGATTTGAGGCCTTACGAAAAATATTTTTTAGCCAAATTAAAATTATTAAATGGATCTTACATGATGTGACGCTTTACTTCTCATATATAAAATTTATTTACATTGCTGATTTATTGCAAAATTATTTCTCAAATTTTATTGTTAAGTAATTCTAATATTTTGCTCTTATTGAAGAACATGCAAGGAGCATTCTTACACCTTATGCTTTCAATGCAATATGCAACGACAGAACTGGCCAATGGATCCTACCTTGTTCAGCACTGCAAGAAAATGGATGAAGAGCACCTTGTAATTTGGGTGCCAGCTGACGAACAAATTCAATGTTCCTGTAAGGAGTTTGAATATTCGGGAATATTGTGCCGGCATTCGATTCGTGTACTTACAATGAAGAACTACTTCCAACTACCCATGAAATATTTCATCCCTCGGTGGCGACGAGAAAGTTCGATGGCTCCTTTTGATGACCAAAATTCTCAGAGCGGTGATGGGTGTGCTCAAGCTTTTCGATTCTTTGGCAGCCACCCTGCTGACAGAAACATTAATCTCCAAGGAACGGTTTAATTATGTTCATAGAGAACTCACTGGGATTCTCGAGCGTGTTAAGAATACGGAAGCTGTGGATGAATTTGCTATCATTGCGGCAGCTAATAATGTTAGTGAATCCTAGATTTTTGTTTAAGCATTATTTTATTTATTCATGTGGGAGGAACCTGGATCCTATTCCTTCAAAATTTAGAGCATAGAAGATACAAATAAGGGGACGTCTGAAGCATAACATGTAACTAGTGATGTTAATATGCTTGCTTTCTTGTATATAGTCAATAAGTAAATTCTTTTCTTTCTCATGGAGCGTTCTGGTGCTTTGAAATGAGTTTTACTGCTAGTATACTGCTTTACAAGCTTGATGGACCATTTGGTTACTCAGAGTGTTTCGTTTCTGTAAAATTGTTCTCTCGTGTTTCATATCTGAATTTGTAAATTTTCTATTGCCTTGTCTGCCCAGCCTTAAAAGTCAAAGCCCTCAAGGAGCAACTTGTTAGCATGAAATGTCTAAAAATTCTGAAATTTCATTGCAGAATTTAAGTTCCTGATTGAAATTAAATTTTGAATCAACAATGCTAGTTGATTATATTACGTAAAATAATAGGCGCATATATATATATATATATATATATATATATATTTGATAAACTGGTGGCAACTGTCAAGCACGGATACGAGTCTCCATATACACGTGCTCTTCATGCAGAAAATCCAATTAATGCACGTAAAACTCTAGATGATTGTCAATGACGATATCATGAACACATTTTGTTCAACTGTGAAGGATGTAAAGGAGTTCACAAAATATGGATAAGGATAAGGTCAAGCCTCAACCATAAAGTATATATAATTCGTCAGTGTGTTCGTATATATGACATTTTGTTCTATTAGTCTTTGCTCTTGCCTTGTAATAAATGCCATTCGCTTGCTAACATTTACAAGCAATGGGTTTATTGATATTTACAAATAAA